ACTAGGCTATTAGGCCCCATGTTGAGAAACATGTGTATAGCAGTAGTGTAAGCGTTTATTAGTTGCTGTTATTCAAGTTGACTGATATGCTGAATAATAGTTGTATAAATACTGAATAGGCGCTACTCTTACTATTTTCAGAGCTTTTCCCCGTAGCTGAATTCACAGCTTTTAACAGCTGCTTAACAGCATGAAACTTCAAAAAGTAAGCTTACATAGCTGAAAATGTTTGTTGGGTAAGCCTTTATTGTGGCTATTTTCCAGTGTTCTTCCTACTCGAATTCATCATTAACGACAATGTGTTCTCACACGCTAAATCTTTAATTACTAGCAAACAACATGGGCTTGTTAAGGGAATGTTGCCTGTGTTCAATGTGTTTTGTGTTTGTTTCAGATATTCGTGAATTTCCCCGTAGATTGCCGGCTACATAATTAGTGATTCTAGGTTTAGTTTAGTTTTAAGAATTCATGTTCTGCATCATCACTGCATGAACTAACCTACGCTTACGACCGTATAATTGTTATCCAATATGTATTTGATTCACTAATTTTAAGTAGGGTAAGCAAATTTATTTAACGAACAATAAGTAGGAATTCTAACAAATCTAAACCAATTCAATAAACACCAAATCATGATCAGAAAAGCAATGATTTACAGAAAAATTCAGCTTATAGCTCACTGAACACCCAGTAAAAACCTGTCAACGTCACAATTGCTAAGTATTTTTGCATTCGTACACCATCATCCTCACCGTAGGAAAAGGAAAAAAAACTACAAATAAATACAGTTATGTAGGTAACGACACTGGCTATATTTAATAAATTATACATGGAAAAAAAACCTAGCGATTTTGTCTTCATTAAATGTATATTTGTATCAACGACCTTCTACAGAAGCTGAAAGCAGCTAGTGAAAACAAATTCGATTAACTGAGTTGAATAGTTTAAAAGCAAAATGCTGTCAAATATCAGAATTTTGGATTCCTGATAAAATCAGTTAAGAAATATTTCTGAAATCTTTGTTGATTTTCAGTTAAATGCTGTAATTATGACTGAAGATGGAATTGCTGGAAAACTCAGAAGCATTATTTTGCTGGAAAGTTTGCTGATTTATCATCATGTCTATTTGTATGAAAGTTAGACATTAAGTGTGTAGGCATTTTTTTTTGCATTGCGGCCTTTGTTTTTGATCTGTCTCTGGGGGAATACGTCAAAGCGGACAATGTACACTGGAGTCGCTTTTTACGCGGTTTTTTTTTACACGGTTTTTTTCACGCGGTTTTTTTTTACGCGGATTTCGGAATTTACGCGGTTTTTTTTTACGCGGATTCCGGAATTTAAGCGGTTTTTTTTTTACGCGGATTTTGGTTTTTTTTTACGCGGATTTCAGAATTTACGCGGTATATAGCTTTTTACGCGTTTTTTTCTTACACGGTCTTTTTTTACTCGGTTTTTTTTACGCGGATTTCGGAATTTCGCGGTTTTTTTTTACGCGGATTCCGGAATTTACGCGGTTTTTTTTTACACGGGACGTATCACCCGCGTAAAAAGCGACTCCAGTGTAATTAGATTTAAATGTACGTACTAGGTGGGCAAAACAGCTCATCTGGTTGAATGGATCACAGCCTCTAAGGGGAGCCTATTCTTTTGAACAGATCTTCAGCTCACATTGATATTATATAAATTTTGTAAAAAAAAAATCAAATGAAATAAGTGTTTGGTGACCCTAAACCAAAAGAGCTATTCTAGCTTAATACCCCGTTCACATTACAGCGTATATCACGTGATATAGCTGTCTTGCAATGAGCACTAGACTGATGCAAAATTTGACTTTTTCACTCCACAGTGCTTAAATGGTTTCAAATCGGATCCTGATTAGCCTCCCAAAGTTACAACTCATTTGGTTAGAAACAGACTTCGCACAAACCATTTGAAGTTTACATGTAAATTACTATGGGAAATCTCAACTTTTTGTTCATTGCCTTCTAGTCTTTTTCCATATTGAGCTGCGAAACAGTTCAACACCCATTCTTATAGAAAATCTCATTCTCAGCTACAATTTTGCTGAAGACCGTTTCTATGTAAAACGAGACAGGAAAAAGTTATTAATTATTTAAGAGATTGGTAAACTTATGACATGATCAAGCAGCTGCTCTGTAGGCAACACTGTATTTTGCAGTGTGACATAGTAGCCATGATTTTTGTGTCCTATTCAACGCCCCAGAAACACCAATGTTGCCTGCTGAGCAGTTGATTGAGCATGATCATAAGACATCAGCGCATTGAACCATTGATAACTTTCGATCCTTGCATTTAATCAAAAAGTGGTCTTCAGCTGGGAAAATTTCCTACAAAAACAATTGAAAGTTTTTGAAGCAGACCGATATTGTGAATTATTAGATAGACATGAACAAAAATCTTGGTTTTACCATAGTAATTCCCATACAAACTTCAAATGGTTTGTGCCATCTCAGTTTCTCACCAAATGGGATTAAATTTTGAGAGGTTAATCAGGATCCGATTTGGAATTGTTTAAGTACTGTGGAGCGAAAATTTCAAATTATGCATCACTCTAATGAGCACTCATACATCTAGTTTTCACTGGAAATCCTATTCATGAGTGCTCATTGCAAGACAGCCTATATTACGTGATATAGGCTGTAATGTGAACGGGGTATAATACTACATAAAATCTTAGAAGTAGTATAAACTAATAAATCCGTAGCTTACAACAACCACCGTTCAAACCAAAATGCGCGCAACATGTAACATATCAGTAAGAGCAAAAAATATCACACGCGATGATATGAATGACATCGTGTCACACGATATCACGCCTTTTCTCAAGCTACACAGATAAACATTCTGAATTTTAATTGTGATGTAAACATTCATTCACGTAAACTTGTATTTCATTTCACGCAACCGAGCAACTTGTAAACAATGTTGTTTACAAAGATGGGCTTTTGTATACAATATTTGCTTCATTGCATGAAATGTGTCAGAACTTTACATGATATATAATGTAAACGTATATGATATGTGACCCTCCATTTATGTGCATGATATTGAACAGAAAATTACACTACTTTTTCGAACTGTGTATGCAATCCAGCCTACATACAGATTTAGTTTCTGATGGTAATTCTCCAGCAGAATTGCCCTCACTATTCTCGGCTTCAGCTCTAGATCATCAGCTCAGATCCAGATCCGGGGGTGAATTGTAAAGAATCGAGAGAAACATAAAGGTCCGACGATCTGGACGGATCCGAGAGCTGTCATCCTAAACAGCTCCCAGTGAATCATTCGGATCGATGATTCGGATCCGGAGCTGAGCTGTGAGGTATGAGAGCTGAATATAGCTTTTCAGCTATTTGCTTTTGAGTGGATCTTCCGCTGCCCCAGAGAATGATGGGAAGATAAATAAGAGCCGGGTACTTTGCTAAATACATTGGTAGAAATGCTGTTGGCTGTTTACTCTTATGCTCAACCAGCTCAGCCAACTAGCACAAATTTAAATTGTTCCTGAAATCTGTTTAGTACAGTTGTAGTTGTAGTACAAACCAGCACAGATGTAAACACCCCATTAACATCGTGTAGCAAATATACATATGTCTCTCTTTCTCTCCCATACAACCGCTTGGAAGTTTGCTTTTACCGTTCTTTCCTTTATTTAACGTCGGTCTCTGTTCCGCAATCTAGTGCCAATCACCGACGGACATCGATTGCCATCTATTGACGGCAATCGAATGTGCAGGAAGGCAGCTTCCACACCTGCGTAGGATATCGCACCCATTCAACACACATGGGCCGGGACCAACGGTTTTACTTCCCTTCCGAAGGAAGACGTGACCAGAGATTTTTATGCCTCAGAAAAATCCCACCGACCTCGGCTGGGATGATTGAACCCAGACCCATCGGGGTATTAGAAAGCAGTCACGCTTACCACTACACCACCGGCGCCGGCTCTTTTACCGTTGATGCTATCGATCAGTAGGCACATGTTGTATCACGCACCTCTTGGTTTACGTGGTGGCTGCTCAATGCGGAAGCGGAGTAATGAGTCCTCAGATTTAATGGTTTAAACGTGTGATATCAGTGAGCTGATGAGGTGCGGTTTCTAAAAAATGAACCACAGGTCATCAACTCACTGTAGTGAATCGGGTCTTTAGAACAGCTCGGGAGCGGTTCGTCCATCTCTAGTACGCATCATCGCTGCAGTTAGATGTTTGGTGTGGCGCAACGAGTCCACGGTATCAGTTTTAGAAGTCCAATCCAACTGTGTTCTACACTTTCACCAAAACACTTTGAATAGATGGAATTTTGAAATGTTTGCTGGTTGGTTGAAAAACTTTTTATTGATATATCGGTATGGTTTTGAACTTTATTGGCAAAGCCGGTATGAAGTTTTCAGTAATTATGTATAGTAAAATGCTCGATTTTCAACTTTTCCAGAATATGAATTTCAATAAAATTAACGAAAGATCTTTTTTGTGACTGCAAATGGGCAAAAATTTAAATAAGTTCAATCCTTTAAAATGTGTCGAACCTCTTAATAGAATCCCTTTATGAAGAGCTTTGAGTGAGTTGGTTTATTTCCTATAAATTCCGTTATAATTGCTTATCTTTTGACAGATACGCGTATGTCGTCTACTACTTGCAGACTTCATCAGTGCTAAGTTGCTCAAACATATGTTTTTTATTGCATTTTTCAAATTGACTGATGCTATTATTGCTTATTATCGTGGATTTACCGGTGAAAAAAAATCTATGGCTACTTTCCACTTATCAATTGCATTTTTAATGGTATTATGGTTTATTTTATTGGTGATTATGAGTATTTTAGCAAGATGAGCAAGATGAGGATTCTTGAGGTGTCGTTTAAATTTCGGCCATTATGCTTCATACTAATAATAAGCAGTACAAAGCAATTGATTATTCATTGATCCTCAATCAAAATCAAAGACTAACCGCTACCATTCTTCTTCTTCCATTTGCAGGTTTATGCTCGTGTTGGTGTGTCTGATATTTAGCGTACTGTCGACGATCGAACAGTACAGTAACTTTGCGAACGAGACCTTATTCTGGATGGAGATCTGCCTGGTGGTGTTCTTCGGCGTGGAATACCTGGTGCGACTCTGGTCCGCCGGCTGCCGGTCCAAGTACATGGGCTTCTGCGGCCGGCTCCGGTTCATCCGCAAGCCGATTTGTATTATAGGTAAGTTGATACCTGGTACCGGTTGCGGGAAAGGCTCTGTTGCACCAACGCCAACGATGGGAAATGTGACGCTGTCATAACTTATTAAACAATAAATGTGGAAGAAGGTCAGGTTCCGAGGAATCAAATGTAATTTTCGCTAACAATACTCCAACAAACACCAAAGCGCGTGGGTCGAATGATGCCTGCCTGCGGGGGAAAAAAGTTATAATTTGTTATTTCTGTTCCATACGAACAGCCCGGGCGCGCATTGTTGTATTTCAACTTCAAAAGTAATCCCATGAAGTGTGCTTTTTACAATTGTTAATGTAGCGTGCCCGTCGCGCCACCAAAGTTTCAACTAGCACAATGGAAGGATTAAGCGGGAAAAAGGCTAATTTAAAATGCATTACATTCTCCTTCGCTTTTTCCGTGGCATATTGAAAACCGAATGAACTGGAATTGGAGCAAACAGTTCCCCGAATTATTTGCCATTCGGAGGGTATTTGTGTGACGCTTCTGGCGAATTACAAAGTATTAACGTTATGAATAGCCTTTCCACCCTTTCTGACGGCCCTTTGTTACGATGTTCTTTTTTTCAAATATTTAAAATATCATCAATTAATTTAATGTCAACGGTAATAAATTTGAAAAATGTATCGCAACCCAGGGTAAGAACTGCATTCGCGAGTCGTTGCACTCTTCAATTCAGTTTATCCGAGAAAGAAAACTTAATTGTAGATCCCGCCACCCGGAGGCTTCGTCATTATTCTGCTAACATTAAACCACCTTATATCCTGCAGTAACAAAAACAGAGACAACAGAAGCTAACTTTTCCCTTGAATGACAACACAGTCATCACTGCAAGCGAATAATGGAATTATTACGCTGAAACATGACGGAAACAAACAAAAAAACTTTTGCATCTTGATCCTTTTCCATCTACAGCAGTTCCACGCCAAATGACGAATCGGAAAAACTAGACCTTCTCCGAATTGCACGAAACTATGCATAATTTTGTGTTATGGGAAATCCTTCACATTTTTACAAAAATTCAGCCATTTTAGAGCTTGTAGTTTTCAAAATGGTGTCTCTGTCATTTTTCAATAAATTGTAGCGAATTGGAATAAAAATTTCAAATTGGAATTCAAATTACATGAAATTCCAAAAACTAGTTCTGTAGTAATGTAGTAATAACGAGTTTTCAGGACCATATTGGCACCATCCAGCCACGGTGTAGGGTCCCCCGCAGATGATGCAGCTTCTGCTGAACGGCAGGCCACCATGGTTAGAGTAGAGTTTGGTGTGCCCGGTCCGAAGCCGCGAAATCACGCGTTGATCCCTCAGGTTGTCCAGTTTGCTCCGTGCTTCGGTTGACCCTTTGACTTTGCGGATGAAGGCAGTTCTGTTGCGGAACCACTCGGCTTCCCATGCCGCTCGAATAGTCTGCATGATCCACCGTCTGACGTCCTGCAGGGGTACCTTGTCGGTGAGTCTGGGACCCGATGATCAGCAGACTCGGTGGGGCGTATTTGATAATCGCCTGGATGCATGGGTGTTTTGGTGCTTCCGAGGTGATCGCTTGAACGACGCTGTGTGAGTTGGTTAAGATCAAGGTTGCAAAGACTCATTTCAGCTAAAACAATGTTTTTCTAAATTATGAAATAATTAGATGCCATGATCAAATTTTGAATTGGTAGGATACAAGAAGAGGTTGCAAAGAATGTGTTTGACATATTAAACCTGTTTATTTCACATCATGAGAGTCACAATCAGCGATTTTTCACAAACTCACTCACTCACTCAGCGATCAGCAAATCGCTGATTGTGACTCATAGAAAGCAAAATTTACAGGTTTTATGTTTCCAACGCATACTTTGTAACCTCTTCTTGTAAGTTACAAGTAAAACATGCCATTATACCATCTTTTGGTTTTATTATTCCGAAAAACATTATTTTAGCTGAAATGAGTCTTTGCAACCTTGGTTAAGATAAGTATCGGTTTGTTGTTTAAAGCTGTTCTTGATCCGATTGTCCAATTGGATTCGTGAAGAGTGCCAACTTTTCTCTCCATGCCAATGGACTTTGGCCACTGTGGGGAGGTCGATGTTGACGACCGTGCGGAGGACTCTGTTCTCCTCGTCGAGGAGAAAGATCCTATTGTTTCCGGAGATCTTGGCGGAAAAGGTAGCGGCTTTTGTGGCAATATTTGCGTTTAAGCAGAACCGGAAAGGAAGAAGACCCGCTTCGATGCATGCGGCGTCTGCTGGAGTGGATGACAGGAGACCAGATATGATGCGGATGTAGCTGTTTTAGATCGGTGCTAGGGTTTTTTTTTTTTTTCCTTTGGTTTGTTTTTTCCGTCGATCTTGTTTTCCGTGCTGAGCACCAATGCTACCGGACGTGCCAGGAAGGCAGCTCCCACACCTGGACCCTACCTATCGACCCATCAACTCATGAAACGGGGACCAACGGCTTTACTTCCCATCCGAAGGAAGGCGTGATCAGAGATGTTATGCCTCAGAACATCCCGGCGGCGCCGACTGGGATTGAACCCAGGCCTGCTGGGGTGAGAGGTAATCACGCTTACCACTACACCACCGCGGTGCTAGGGTTCTAACCAGCTTCTCGGAGGCGATACAAGTAATTTCCGTCCCGTAAAGCAACCTACTGTCGATGATGGAACCAAACATCGCGGTTGTTGGATCGGTGAGGCCGAGATATCGTTTTAACGGGGTTGAGTGTACTGCGGTAGTCCTTTTTGACCTATTGGAAATGCTGGTCGAAGGAGAGCGTTCGGTCGATCAGTACGCGGAGGACGCGAACTGTTTTCCTGGTTGGAATGGCTTGGTCGTGGATCGTAATTGGGGTGCTATTGACTCGGTAAAATGTTATTAAAAAGAGTTTCAAGTGATAATTATCAAATCCCACGTGTTCCTAGTGTTTTTCGCAGTGAGCAGTTAAATGTAGAATCAAATCCTTCGTGTTCCTTTGTATGAGTTGCCGTTTGTTCTAACTAACACTTTGGAATGCTCAGCTAAGTTTATTTATATAAATAATTATTTCTGATTATCCATATAAATTTCAACTATCCATATAAAGTTCAGCAAGTATAATTGTTTATACTAAATACGTGACAGTATCAAAGGTGTATTTTTTGAATATGCAAGTGTGAATACATTTCAGATGTCCATTTAATATGTGAATGTGTTCATACGGAGCTTATTGTAAATGAAGATGACGTCAGAATGTACGTGTATGAACAGGCATTCTTGAAATAGCTCATTGGAATTATAGTAGAGCTATCACTTTTCACCAGGTAAAAACAGTTTTATCATCAAAAACCTAGGTGCAGGCAGGTTTCTTCCATAAAAGCACTACCGGTCAGTGAGAGCTGGATTGCATCTACACACTATTCATAGAGATTTCATGTAGTTTTTGCAGGTATAAGTATCACATTATAAATGATTGTTTCAAATCCTGTAGCAACGATTCAAGTCAATTCTAGGTATGCATTTTTGCCGAAGGACATTTCACCGAAGAGCAAGCCATTTTCTACGGTTTTGCATTAGATTAAAGTCAATAATGAATTACTTATCTATAAAAAAACTCAATTGGCTGGAGTACTGTCGAGAAATAGCAGTACATCGTGGTCTGGTGGAAGCAAACGGTTTCGGTTTGACCGGCTTCAGGTCCTGCAGCGTCCTAACAATGCAAGCGATCATCTTTAGGCCTTCGACCAGGCCTTGCACAACTTTGTCGGTGATCAGTTCATCCGACTTACACTCCATGATCAGATCCTTAAGCAGAGCCGCCGAATTTTAAGGAAGCTGGGAGTGGACCAAGGTCAGATAGGGGACCGGGAATCCGACGGTGACCACACTGTTAGCAGTGGTCGAGATTTTGCACAGCTCGGCGATGCTGATCTTGTCGCCGTTCATCTAATTTTTTTTTTCAATTTGGTTTGCGCGTTTGTTGGCACGTTTGTCGGAGACGGATAAAACCGTAAAGTTCAGCAAACCATAAGTATATTTTCCTTTAACCCATCATTCTGATTATTCTCAAAAGCAAAATATGCCTACCTCTTCGTCTGAATAACGATCCACTACGCCCACCTGAAATTCTTTCATTCGATGCAATGTTTTTCTTCTTTTGTTAAGAATACTAAACAACATAAAATATTCTTCCTTTGAATCCGATGAAGAGGATTCAAACAATTGAAATAGTTCTTCCATTCTTTTTTTTTGCAAAATTAAAAACTGTAATCAGCTGTAATTGTTGCGTCACGACGAAAACGAGAGTTTTGACAACCATATTTTTGAATGTTTTTGTGGTTTTGCGATAAACATATAGCTACACCGCGAATTTTTCGAGCGCTACACCATCGTCAGTGGTGCAGAAAAAGTGTTGCACAGGTGTAGCTACACCACAAAAACGAAAACGACAATACAAATGTTCAGATATATTTATGCTGAAGGCTATTGGGCTAAATTCCGATAAACAAAAGATTGATCTGACCAATTGTTTTTGTTAATTACTTTATTTGTACAGGCTCAATCGAATAAACTTTATAGAGCCAAGTTATCATTTTCTTTATACATTATGAATGTCTTAAATCTAAATTTAAAGGATTGGAACCGATTACTCGCGGTCTTCTCGAGGCTAGTGGATGACAATTGTTTGGATCGGGAGAGGGAAAAAGAGATTTGGAATATGATTTATGATTCAAAAATTTCACTATTTCTAAAATATATACTTAATCCTATCGACGTTATATCAACTCTGTAATTATACAATTATTACAGAAACAAATCTACAAAAAAACATACACACACACATACAAAACACAAACTAGACACAAGGTTAATCAAGCTTACAATCTATGGTTAATATTCTTCAAGAAAACATATATCAGTTGCATAAACTCCAGATCGCGTCTAGCCAAAATATCCCGAACTGGAACATTAGGTTGTCTACCTCGAGCCCGAAGGGAATAGTACAACTCGGATCTGACTCCACGG